AACCAGTTTATAGTTATTAAACATAGAGTCCATATTAATCATTCTTAAGTAGTTGCAATCACTAACACCTTTTTCATGCATATTTCCATCATACATATTATCATAACCTAAAATAGGCCTAAGGCCCTTCCATCATAATTAGACATGCATCAATACTATTACAATATGGCTTTACAAATTACAACTTGAAACTAAAACTTCAAATTACATTCTTCTAAAATTTCAACTTAATTTAAAAGACAACATAACCAAATACATCACTACTAGACTTAGGCAAAATGGCATGAACAAGATGCTAATGAAGCTACTAATAAATACAAATGACATGTTCATGCCCTAAGTCTAGCCTAGGCCACACGGCCAACAAAATGCAAAATAAGAAACGCTCCATCGCTCACTCTGCGGGCCTCTTGCCCGAGGCTCCTGCTCCACTGCTACCTCCTGAAATAAATGCCCCGAGACGGGGTGAGATATACGAATATATCTCAGTAACCAAGAGGTTCTGGAGAAAACTCCACCCAATGGTTCACTTCGATGCATATCAATAGAATACAACAACCACTTGAAAACGGGATATAGCAAGGGATTTAGAGAAGGGGGAATATAAAGAAAACAAAATACGACGGTACGGGATGGTAACCCCAATTCCACGTACGCCCTCGGCATATATAAGCCTATGGGTATCATCCAAGGTGTGTTCACAGAAACCACAACCATGATGCCCAAACCAACCAAAACGCCAAAGACATTCCTAGTGTGCTCCTACCCGGATCACACACCATGACCGCAGTCAACTGGAACTCCCTCCTGGAGACCTATCCAGCGGAAGTCCGAAAATGCCCGAAGGCTAATAAAACTGTCTACTGGCCAGAGACTCGGTACATAAGTACCCATAGCAATAATGCATGCATGCTCATGTGTTATATACTATTCATACACACTTCCTACCGTTACCATCAACTGGCAAGGTGGAACAGAAAAGGGGAACAAGCCCCAGTACCAAGAGGTTACCTTAATTCGTGTTTCCACAAGCTCCGCAGCAGCTTATCCCTCAACTCAGTACACAGCGGAATGCCTCAATCCACTTGGTCCCGGACCAAGGGCAATTCACTGATTCAAGATTCGGGATTCAGGTCGACGTACGACAACCTATACAATAACGTACATCCATCAGTACTCGTCAAATAGTATCAAAACGCAAAAACACAAAAATCCTCCCCATCCTCCCTTGATGGTTCGGCCATTGTAGTGTAAATGTGAGATTTATTTTTCTAAATTTTCTTTCTCATTTTGTTACGTCTCATTAGGTTGTCAATAGGCCAGTTCAAGTGCCGGTTCGTCATTTTCGCGTCGAATTACATCAAAACGCGAAAATCGCCAAATCACCCCTTTTCCCCTTGGAGGTTCGGCCATGTAGGTGTAAATTTGAGATTTATTTTCTTAAATTTTCTTTCTCATTTTATAACACTCCCTTAGGTTGTTTAGAGGCTAGTTCAATCGTCGTTTTTCCGTTTTCCGACATTTACGCATCGTTTTGCGAAATATTTCATTCAGGGCTCATTTAGGTCTCTAACACAATTCATTTTTTTTCCATTGATTCAAACACTCTCCAAGCACAACACAGCCCATCTAAGCACCATATAACTACACAAATCATCATCCAAATCATTTTTCAACATCAATTCCTCAATCTTTCCTCAAAGAATCGAATTTTACCCTATGGCATTCCAAGGAATTTCCATACAACTTTAATCATTCCACACCTCATACAATCCTATTATATCAATATACAATCATACAACAACTCATCAATCCAATCCTAACACATTTTCAAAACTCAAAGTCATGACAACCTCAAAATTTTCTAAGTTAAAAATTCACATTTTTCATCAATAATTTTTATTGCATTTATGGCTACTACACATCATTCTAAGACACATTCATGTACAAACATTTTCCAATTGAGCTCTCTAAACACATCAATCCAACAAGCCCTCTTTAGGGTTCATAAATTCAACCACAAAATTAAACCATTGGAACACAAGGAAACTCACCCAAAAGCTTGGCACAAGGCTCCTCCTAAACATACTCCACCATTGGAGCATCAATCAACACCATTTTCACAAATCTAAAGGAAAGGGCCGCAGCTTTGGGGAGGGTTTTTCTCAAAATCTAGTGGCTTTCAAGGCTTGGGAGTACCACCAATGGATTTAGAAGGCCATTTCCATCAAATTTCAAGACAAGAATCAATGGATTTGGTGAAGAAATGGCTAAGTTATGGTGAAATGAAATCTTGGAGGGGAAGGGCTATGGTGGCTGCGGGTTTGAGCAAGAAGAGGGAGGAAAGTGATGCATGAATAGTGCCAAGCACATGTGGCTTAAGTCACTTAAGTGGGGTGGGTCCCACCGCCACCTCACGTGATTTAAAACTAATCCGAATTTTCCTCCGATTCCACTAAACGTCCGTAAATTCACAACCTATTTAGAAACTCAAATTTTTAACATTAACTATTCCCCTTTAATTAGGCTTGATCAGATGAATTAAGAGTCCTCCATTCGTTCGGAGAAAACACTGTTTTAAGCTATTATGCGCGCCAATGGCACGCTTCCCCAAACTGTCTTAATTTCATCGAATATTATAAGAAATCATATTTCCTAACTCATTAGACCATTTTTAACTCATATTTGAAACCTAGAGCTCAAAACTCAATCGGCACATTTTACGGTGCAATCGTACCGCGATATTTTTACCCGCGAAAAACACTATTCACTGATTTTTCTGAAACTTGCCTGTCCACTCAATTTTTCGTTCTGAACCCATTTCCAGGGTTATTTTTACCATCTGAGACCTTCTACTCAATTTTTATCTTCCTAGGGTTGCGTGTTGGCTAATTACCGTTTTGCCCTTTCTTTGTATTTTGGCCTAATCTTTTGGATTTTCACTAATCCATCACTTGATTGCTCACTTAATATTTTAATTACTTGATTTAAAATTGTGAGGTGTTATAAATACCATTTTATGAATTTAGATTATAAATATTACTTCTCTCGTATAAGTTAATAACAAGATAGTTATTCAATTTTTAAATTTTAACTGAATCTTCGTAATTTGCATTAATGATCATTTATTACATGGTTGTTAAACTAATTATTTGATTTTATTTTTTTAAATGTTTAACTTGTTTAGTACTCTAGTCTAAATTATTATTTTAAAAATTTATTTACAAAATAATCTTCTCAAATCTCAAGATTATAGCATATCTTTAAGGGATATGTTATTCTACCTACCATTTTTTCTGCCTACTTTTGCTCACCATCTTTCAACAACGTTAGATTAGAATCTTAACTAACATTTATTTTTCTCTTTCTTCTTGAGATTCTGATCTAACTGTGTTGGAGGGTGGTAGGCAATGGTAAGTAGAATAACCTATCCCTATCTTGAATTCAGATTTCTTTATATCACATAAATACTAAAAAAAAAAAAACCCTTGAATAGAAACTGCGTACGAGAGGGAACAAGAAATCCCATAAAAGAGCACTTAACAGACACTTTTCTAAAAACCCTAACGTACATTTTCTTTGCTTTGAATCCCTTCTTTTCCTTTTCGCTATTCTCTGTTCGTTCCGAAAAATCAAGAGTTGGAATTCTGAAAGGATTTCTCTGCGTTTTCACAACTCAGGTTTGCTTTTTTTTTTTTGCACCCCAAAATCTTAGAATACCCATTTTAGGATTCCCCCTCTTCTATAATGGATTATCTGCGAGAGTCTATGTTTTGTGTAATTAAATCGATCTTGGTGAAGTTTCATGCGATTCCCTACTGCAAATTAGTGGTTTTGATTTTAGGGTTCCTTTCAATTTATTTATTAGGGTTTTTTGAAGGATTAGGGATACGATAATTTGGGGGTTTAGGGTTGTCGAGATTAACGGGGCAGAGCAAGGTTTAATTATTGGTCTTTCGCCCAACTCTGATATGGGTTTTGACGTTGACGGACCGGGATCGAGTTGTTCTGCCCTTATTTTTTTTCCGTGTTCATCGTTTGCTTTATAGTTATAGGTATTTGTAAGTTTGGTTATGGAAAATTTGGGAGGGAAAAGTCTTAAGCTTTTTTATGGGTAAATTATTCTGTGGCTTGTTGTTTATGGATGAGTTAATGGAAGAAAACATGAGCTATGGATGATATTATTGATGGGATTCAGTGTCTGATTTGGGATGCCATTGGAATGTTTGTTTTTTAGAGTTCTATGGCTTTAAAATTGTCGAGGAGGACTGAACGAATCAGTGGTACAACATGTGTGTATTGACTAGCTGGGAGATGCAATAGAAATCCATGCAGGTTTTTGCATAGTGAAACCCCATCACCATCTCCAGTGTATTACAATGGCAATACTGCCTATCCTTATCCAAGGAAACCTAGGTATAACTCAAATACCTCAATGGTTAGAAAGTGTGTAGATGGCACAAATGTAGCTGAGGTTTCTAAGAAGCCACTGGAGAAGACCCCTAAGTATAACTCCAAGGCAATGTTGATTAGGAAGAGTGGAGATGGGACACGTGCCGCTGAGACTTCTCAGAAGCCACATGTGAAGACCCCTGCGCATAACACAAAGGAAGTGCTGATTAGAAAGAGTGTAGATGAGACAAGTGTGGCTCAGGCTTATCAGAATCCACCTCAGAAGACCCTGTACTGTGAGTCAAAGGCTGTATTGATTAGAAAGAGTGAAGATGGAGATGGGACCAGCATCCCAGAGGTTTCTCAGAAGCTGTCACGAAGTGTCTGCAGATCTATGAAGCACCGATACCGACACGGCATTTTCGATACGTTCCCGATATGCGATGTCGATACGTTACTTCAAAATACTAATATTTCGATACGTTCCCGATACGTCTTAGTATAAAAATATTTTTTTAAATATATAGTGTATTTCACATTAACAAAATATAATAAAGGAAAATCATAAGCACAATTAATAGATTATCCATACAAAATTGATAAATACATCAACTAGTATGTGGATATGGAGTGCTACTAATAATATTCGCCTCCAACTCTGGCTCATCTAGGGAAAGGGCAGCACCATCTAAAGCTCCAACATCATTAAAGGTATCAACTGCATCTCCACTAATGTCCCAATATTGACTTTCTCCTTCATTATATTTTGGACTCTTTCTTGATAAGAGCCGAAGGTTGCTATGTATGTAAACTAAGTCTTCAGCTCGTTTGGGATCAATTTTATTCCTCTTCATAGAATGCACAAAAATAGTAAGTACTCCAATTGTGTTCATCACACGATGAATAAGAGGGTTGTGCAGTGAGTTTCAAAGCTAGCTTTTTAAGCAAAGGTGCACTACAACCGTGAACTCCCCACCAATCATTGGGATTCATTGTATATCGATTTTCAATAGCCTCAAACTCTCTAAAATCTCCCTTCATTTGAACAAAGTTGACATACTCCAAATTTACTGTAGCCCTTTCCTCCATACTAGAAAAATGTCTCCTAAAGAACTTTTTTACTTCTAAATTAATCTCCACATCATTGTCTGGAGAAACTCGATTTGGATCTTCAGCAAGCCATTGATCACTGTAGTATCTACCAAAGAGAAAAAAAATTAAAAGTGCCAAAATGGTTTCAATTAATAAAATTATTAAACTAAGTTACAATTATAAGAAACTTACTTGGGATTCAAAGCATGTGCCAAACAATGAAGAGGAGTTGAACTTTTGGTCCAACGATCCACAAGAATTTTATACACCACATAATAAAACGTTGATGACTCACCATTCATCCTCCCTTCTTTCAAGTATATTACATTCTTTACCTTCTCAATCATCGCATCCCACATATCATAAACCAAATGAAGACAAGGTTTATCAGTGTCACAAAATCTGCTCATATCGTAAATGGGAGTAGTGAAAGCAAGGATGTAATCAATATCTGCCCAGAACTCATCATCCAATATCTTCTCCTTCACTAGTCTTGCCCTTCCTTGATGATCATCTTTATAAATACTCCATTTTTCACAAATGACCATGTTTTGTAGGCCAGCCTTTATCAACTTGAACCTCTTTAACATCACAATCATAGAAGCAAATCGGGTGTCAGCAATAGAAAGCAACTTCAATGGCACAAACTCATTAAACATGGACAATCTCATAGAATGACTCATGATGAAAGTCTTGATTGTTGAAACATGACCAATAATTTTAGATATCCAACTACATTCTCCATAAGTAATCTCATTATTCTCCACATTTTTGGCTGCACAAATGTTCTTTAAAGCCAAATTCAACGTGTGAACAACACATGGTGTCCAACTGATGGTCGGATATTCTTGCTCAATAAGCTGCCCTGCACCCTTATAATTAGCAGCATTATCCGTTATTACCTGAACCACCTTCACCCCAACCTCTTGAATTACTTCCTTTAGCAAGTTGAAGATAAAATATTTATCCTTCGTATCACCAGAACAATCAACACTTTTTAAAAACATGGCTACACCATCACATACTGCCATGAAATTAATTATTGGCCTCCTTTGGGAATCACTCCATCCATCACTGACAATACTCACACCATTTGATCTCCAAAGAGATCGGGCTGGGATACATAACCTATCAATATTATCCTTCTCCTGAGTCAAAAGAGTAGTTCGCAATAAGTTATAGCCAGGGGGCTGATAACCTGAAATGTTATGACTTGTAGCATAAGTGAATGCTTGTTGAAAGTATAGGTTCCTTGCCAAATGAAATGGCAATCCAGCAGAATAAAACATCCGAGCAATAATATGATTCAATTCTTCCCGCTCCCCCATATTGAAAGCCCTCTCAACAGGACCCATATTTGCGGTTCCTTCATCACTTATTTTTCTTTTAGCAGATGTACTAGCTGTAGTTGAAAAGTTACTGGGTGGTAAAGGAACAGATCTCGATGCATTATTCTTCACCCTTTCAGAATATTCCTCTTCCAATTTTCCCATTTCCATCAAAGATGCCCGCTTAACCTTCTTACACACTCCAATCCCTTTACATTTGATCTTTAACAAATGGGTCTTTACTCTTGTGTATGAACTTCTGTATTCAAGTTGGCAAAACTTACACTTCCAACTCATATTCCCTCCAGCATTTGTTCCATCCTCAACTCTAGTAACATACCTCCACAATGGTCTGTTCAAGTTTTCAACTTCAGTGTCCACAACTTGTACATTGGATTGTATTGAACTATTGCTTTCATTTATGTTTGACTCCATTCTATTAAATTCAAAACAGAATTTACAAATAAATTAAAAAAACATAATTTGCAAACAGATTAAAAACAGCATAAACAACATCATATAATATATTAAATTAAAATCAAAAAAATATAATTTACAAACATAATCATATTAAAAAAAACAGAATCATATTTAATAATAGAAAATATAAAATCATGTTAAAAAGGAAAATTAAAAGCAGCAAATATAAAAAATATATAAAGAAAAGGCACATAAATGGCAAATATAAAGAAATATAGAATCATATTAAAAATTAAAATTAAAAATTAAATCATATAAAATAAAAATTGGTAGAATCATGATTCTTTTTAATTTATAAAAAGCAAAAAATAAAAGCAAAACATAAAACGGCAAAACAAAACAAAATGGTAGAAGCAAAAGAAATTAAATAAAGCAAAAAATAAAATAAGCAAATATAAAAAAAATGAAACGCACAATCGCACATAAACGGAAAAAATAAAACGCACATATAAACGAAAGAGATGGTAGACGAATTCTAAGCAAATAAAACGAAAGAGAGATTAGAAAAAAACTAACTGAAAGTCCAACAGAGATGGACGCGCTGAGATGAAAGAAGAGCAGAGATGGCAGACGAGCAGAGATGACTCGAGCAGAGGCAACGAGCAGAGGTGACCAGCAGCAAAGACGACGACCAGCAGAGATGACTCGAGTCAGATTTCGATTTGGGAGAATGGTTTCAGACAATGATATAGTGAGTTACATCTAGTTTTAGGGCTTTTTTAAGCTAAAATCTTCACCCTTTATTTTTTAAAATTTTACAAAATTTTCCATTTGACCGAATTAATTTTTTTGACTTTTCTGATACGTGAAATAACGTCTGCAAAGCGTACCCGTTTAAAACGCGAATCCGATACGTGAATTTTTTTTTTTAGCCGTATCCGTGCTTCATAGCTGCAGATACTGGATGAATGGAAATTGTGTACACAATGACCAGTGCTGTAATTTACATTCATGGTTTTATGGTGATGGGATTTCTGCACTAGCAAAGCTTCATGAACACAAGAAGGTACTTTCTTCTAATACCATCTTTTAGTATTCAATACAACAAACATGTGCATGCATATCCAATTATGTGCTTTTATAAAAGTCTTTTTTACTAGCCTTGGCTTGTGTATTTGAATTTTGGATGGTATCAGAATTAATTAGATTGAACTGGATGTGGCTGAATTATTTTTTGACTGATATTAATAATTGCTAATTAGAATGGATTCTTTACTTTTACTATAAGCTGTTTAATTTAGGAACTACCTAATCAACCAAGTGTTTTCTGGAGTTTTTTTTTTTAGTTTATTCTCCAAGTTTCCTCGAAATGCTAGGAATTGTGTGGCTTTCTTTTATGTTAATATTTTTGGAGTACTTAAACTAAAACTTTTGAAAACAGGTTGTCACTGGAATTGCTCTTCCAGTTGGATCAAACAAACTTTATTATGGCAGCATTGATGGGACAGTTCGGATGTGGGACTGCAATTCTGGTCAATGTGCTAGCGTTATAAATCTCGGCGTCAAAGTTACCTCTTTGATCACTGAGGGGGTATAGGTTTTTGTTGGTGTCCGAAATTCTATAAAGGTAAGCTCTTAGTTTTCAAGTTGTTTCATTTTGCAGTCATGTCTTATATGTATAAGCATTACATGTAAGCTGATTATGCAGTCATGGTTATTTTGAAGGCTTGGAATATCCAGACTGCTTCAGAGTTTACTCTTGATGGACCTAATGGGCAAGTCCTTGCTATGACTGTTGGCAATGATACACTTCTTGCTGGAGCAGAGGTAACTTCCCATGCAGTGGTTTGTTGTTGTTATTTAATATTATTCAGACCTTTCATTTTTTTTTTTCTGTAATTAGTAACTGGATAGATTTGTTCTTTGATCAGGCTTCTATCATACTTATTAACAATTCTTTTATCTCATCTATCAATTTATGTATCATATGATGATTTAAATTGCAGGATGGTGTAATATATGCATGGAGAGGCAGCTCTGAAAGTAAGACCCCCTTTGAACTGATTGCGTCACTAAGAGGCCACACTGAAGCTGTGGTTTGTCTTAGTGTTGGTCGGAATATGCTCTACTCAGGGTCCATGGACCATAGCATAAAGGTATGTCTATAGTTTGGCAGTGAGGACTTTCCATTTTTTTTTATTAATATATGCATATTATAAATTTATTAATAATTGTACTTTGTAAAAATAACTGAATTATAATATTTCAACAATATTTGTATAATAATTAAAATATTGAATAAATATTTATTATGAATATTAATGAATATTTTTTTTATAATATTTCATTTATATTATTAATATTCATTTGATGGATAATAACTTGGTTAGTTATTTAATTTATGGTTTATACTATCTTTTAATTAGTATTAATGTGGATATTTATTAACTTCTAATACATACATATTTTTTAATTATATTAATTATAATAATTAATAAATGAGTAAGACTAAAAAAATGAATCAAATAATGTCAAAATGCATGTATTTGCTCCATGTGGATTTTGTTAAAAAGATGTGATTTCACTAGACTACAGATTCACAAATTTAAAAACATCTGATGGTCAGTTCTTCATATTGATGTAGACATTGCTAAAATGTTCTTGGTCTTTATTGTGTGATGTTCAAACTGACATTATGATGTGTTTTCTTATAGATGGTTTTATATATGTTTGTCATTATAAATCTTAGGTGGTATGTCGTTTTCCTCTGTTAGCCACAATTGCTTGTTGTTTGTCTCTACATGGTAGCTTGTTTGAAAGAATTATTTGTTATCTTGTTTTCTTCAGGTGTGGGACCTTGATACATTGTAGTGTGAAAGGACACTCAATGGACATACTGAGGTAGTCACATCCCTTATTTGTTGGGAGCAGTATTTGTTATCAAGTTCATCTGACTGCACAATTAAGGTCTGGGGTTTCACTAAGGAGGGAACTTTGGAAGTAACATATACACAGACAGAGGAAAATGTAAGTTGCGTTACCACAATAACATCTCGTGCATAAGTAAATTTTTGATTCTATATCAAATATCATTTAGTTTTATTTTCATTTGCGGAAATCAAGCTGAATTTTTTTTTATAATGGCCATAGAGTTAGTCGATTCGCACAATCAATATTTTTCGTTTTTGTTATAGGGTGTTCTTGCACTTTGTGGGATGAATGATGCAGAAGCCAAGCCCATACTGTATTGCTCTTGCAGAGACAATTCAGTTCGCATGTATGAATTGCCATCGTAAGTATACTTAAATTTGCATACATTTTTTTTCTTCTGTAACTGTCATGGTTATGTTTTTGTGTTGGGCAAATGTTGCAGCCCCTGACCATGTCTACATTTACAGATTTTCAAAAAGGGGTAGGCTATTTTCGCAAAAAGATGTTCGGTCATTACAGATAGGTCTTGATAGGGTTGGGCTCTTCTTCACTGGAGATGAGACTGGTTTGCTAACTGTTTAGAAATGGTTGGAAGAGCCCAAAGTGCCATGAGAAATGTCCATTTCCCCCATCAATTGGTTTCTTTTTTACATCAAATGGTCAGTTGATGCGAGTGATATTTTGCAGGAGGCAGAACAAGATTTAATTCACTTTTTCCTGTACAGCGAGCAATAGTGATTATAACAAGAAGTATATAATGAATGAAAATTTCCAATTCCAATGTTCTCTTTCTTCTGGTGTTAGTTCATTCTTAATAACGAATGTTATTGCCCTCCATTATACTGCTATTCTGAACTTATCCACTTATGAGTTAATGTTTCAGTTTTATATAAGTATGTTTCATGTCTGTTTTCTATCAACAATCTGTTTAATATTTTTCTTTAGTAAGCCTAATTTTCTTTTTGATAAAAATTAGTAAGCATCATAAATGTACCTCGTTTACAGTTTGTTACTTTTTATTACTTAAATTAGTAGTTGATACTATCCTCTAATATGCAATCAGATTTATGAAATTGGTGGTGGATCATGAACTTGTGCCAAGGGTATAATGGATTACATAATATTGAATGCTCTGCAAAAGTTTATAACAGTTTTGACTTACACGTACGTGCCTTGATAGTGAATATAATATATATTTTATTATAAAACCGAATTATAATGTTTCACCCAGTTTTTAGTTTTTACCTATTTTGTTAAGGAGGAGGGATATTTTAACTACTAAAATTTTTCACTACCAACTTACTACCTATCTAATCACCATTAGATTAACATTTTTTTCTCTCTTCAAATTTTTTTTAATATTCTCTCTATTTGATCCAATGGTGATGTGATGAGTAGTAAGTTAATAGTAAGAGTTTTTGGTAGTTAGAATATCCCCACTCTTTGTTAAGATAGTGGGCTTTGCTTATATTTTTTTGTACCTCTTTAAATGTACTTTGTGTGAAGAATTACTTTTGCAATCCAAACTATGATTTTGATAGAAGCAACATTTTGTTGTTGTCGTAAAAAAAGAAACAAGATTCATAATATTTACATATCTTTATTGATAATTACATACGTAAAAATGATTTTTATTAACATTTCCAATATATATATATATATATGAGGTAAGATTTTTTGACACCAGTGTCAAATTTAAAATTTGACACCTCATCTAAGAGTCATTGGATCAAAAAAGATCAATGGTGTCACATGATTACAAATCAGAGCCGTTAATCTTTTTTGATCCAATGACTCTTAGATGAGGTGTGTCAAATTTGACACACCTCATCTAAAATCCTACCTCTCTATATATATATTGGACGGAAACAAGTCTTATAGATACCAGACTATCCATGAATAAAATAATGTGATAATTATTTAACTCTGATCCCAAAAATCTTAATCTGGGAAGAAATCTTTATCCTTTTGACAATTCATTTATTCTAAAATTCATATTATTACTTGAGCCAATTTTTAAGTTTTGCTCCATATCTTAATCAAAAATTTTAAATTTTAAATTTATAAATCCTTTTACTTAATATAATATTGCTTAATTTATCTTAACAATGCTGAATTCCAAGTTTAACACACACCCACACCCACTCCAGCTCTTAATAAAAAAAATACCAATCCACCTAGTAAAAGGGAAAAGGGTCCTGAAGAAAAGAGAAAAAGAAACACACACAACATCCTTATCCATTTTTGTGGCTTCCCAAGATAATTAGAAGTTGTTTTATTTGTGATTCAGTGAAAGCAGCAAATCTCTTTCATGAAAGTAAGAGTATACTTTTTTCAGTGTCTGATACTTGTTTTTGTCCTGTTCCAGCATCAACCGAACAAAGGTTCCCTTTGACTAGTTGTTCATTATATGATCATTTTTTTTAAAGCCAATTATATAATGATTTTATTCAAGTTTAATGTCTCTCATGTTATAAGAAATAAATTTATTTTTTACATATATAAAAATATATAAAGTCCATATTTTGTTTTCTCTTTTCTTTACATGATTCATATATATATTTTTATATGTATAAGAGATAATTTTATCTCATACAATATAAGAAATATCAAATTATTTTAATAAGAGGAAACAGGAAATTGTGATGCTAACATGCTAATTCATATCATAATCATAAATCCAATGCTTGTTACGTACAGGCTACAGCTCATGGTATCTCACTGTCTTGTTTGTTCCTTTCCTTTTACTTTATTATATTATCATTATCCTCTTCAATCTTAGTTCTGCAAATTACAATTTCGTTATAGATCCAATTTAGACGCTTTTTTATACAACCAACTTGAATTTTATATGATTCTTGCAAGAATATTAAATTGCTAAGTTAATGTGAATATTTTAAATTTATTGGATATGACTTATATTTCACATTCAACATTCAAATGATGAGTAATTAATTTCAATTCTTATAATATAATGCACTAGCCTTAACTAATTAGTGGTAACTAATTAAGGGTGATGGGATGAAGTTTGTACGAAGTTTATATAGATTTTAGAGTAAATCCCTCTTTTGGTCCTTAACGAAAAATACGATCCTCATTTTCGTTCCTTACAAATAAAAAAAATTAATTTTTGACCTCTCTACAATCTTTTTTTGTAAAAAATATGATCCCTCGTAAATTTAATGAAAACTCAATTTAGTCACTAAAAATAGACTAATATAGATATTTTTTTTATAAGAAACGAAAATGCAGATTGTATTTTTTATTAGAGACTCAAAATGATTTTTACTCTATATTTTAAGGGGTATGTATTTGTCATTTAACATGACACAACAAACTTTTCTACACACACAACATTTTGTGGGGCCCACACTTTTTGAAGAAAAATAAAAAATAAAAAATTATGACACACAAAATAAATCTCTATAACATTACACAATCACTTTTCCTACAACATAACTCTTATAAAATCCATATTTTAATTATAAATACGTAGGTACCAATTTTGACCGAACGATAATAAAGTACCGCAAAAGAAAAGCAGCACGCAGCAAGCACGCATGTAGGTGCAATGCCATGTTGCAGTATTAAATAATAAAAACCATAAGGAATAGTGGCAAGCGTTGAAGAGTACGTGGCTCTAATATGTGCTTCATTCTTTTCCCAAGTAATAAGATAAAAAGCAAAAAAAGATAAAAGAAAAAAGGAAAGACCAAAGTGAAAAAAATAAAGTAAGAAATTCAAACTTTGATGGGATTCTAAAGAGGAACGTGGTGTCATATACAAGACAGGCTGTCCCTTGTGTAATGGGCCCCTCTCTCATTTTGCCCATTTTAACGGGCAAATGTTTGCTTCTTCTGCCTTTTCCCCATTCTATCCCTTTTAAAATTTCAAGTCTTCTTTGGTCTTTGGATTCTCCATATGATTGGCAAAATATGACAATTCAAGTTTCTTCTTCTCATGATTACCAAATTATTTACTCCACCACTCTTTCTTTTCGAGGTGTAGCAAAGGACATGATATACATATGTATCTAAGGTGAGACAAGAAATGATTTATATTCAGGTACGTTAAATTAGAAGGACATTTTGTACCTTCAACAAAAGAAAAATCAATATTAGTTGTTGGAATTATGTGAAGGTATTGAAATTAACATTCGATAATCTAGCAGGGCACAAGGCTTCATGGTGGTGAGGTGGTCTTTGATGGTGATAAATTGTGAGCTGGAACGATACATAATTAATGTTCTAATAACAATCGCTTATTGACTTTAATAAACATCAACCACCCTTTCTTTAATGTACAACCATATAAATGTAGGATCCGTCGGTTCTCATGTGGCTGCTGATGAGAAAAGTTGCAGCAAATTTTTAACACTAGGATACACGTGCGAATCCTATCAAAACAAAAAAAACAAAAAAAATCCAGGATTCGGACGCGTATCCTGTGTTGCTGCAAATTTTTCCTTCTGCAGTCACATAAGAAGTACTTTCCCCGTAAATGTAACTAAGGCGATATGTTTTAGCTGACTTTATGTGTCATCTTTCTTTGTAAGTGCAATTTTTGTGTAAATATTCCACATGCACTTATTCTCATGCTATTCTTTTTGTTGCTTTTAAATACTAATGCCATCTTACTATAAATAAAAACGACTTTTTCTTTTTTCATTTACATATCTCAGAGAAAATAAAGTCAGTGATACATCTTGAAATTTGAAGCCATTTTTGTAGCACACAATACATCTGAATTTAATAAGTTAATGTGATGACATTCCTCCAATATTTTTTTAAAGATGCAATTCACATTATTACCAAAAAAATAAAAAGAATATATTGCACATCAAATTAATCTTTTTAATATCATATTTCTATTATTAACTTAATTTTTTATTGTAGCACCCTAGTTATGCATTTGGAGTGACTCATATCTCCCAATAATTTCATGATCCAAATGAAGAAAGAAACTTGCAATAATATAAAATTAATTTGAGTTATGCGATAAACAATTATCCAACTTGATTCAAAAGCCCTCTTCACCAATATTATTAAAATCAACTTGACTCAATTTGTTAGACCAGAATCGGACCACTATCCGGTCCAATTCAATTAATTAATCGACCATGCATATAACTCAGTCAAGAATAAAAAATCGATCAAAAATCGAGTTCAACCGATACTAACTCGGTACAGGTTTCTAGTTAAAATGATTTTTTAAAATTGAGGTAAAAAATTCCACCACAATTGCATTCCTAGAATTAGAACTTGACACCAATGGGAAGAATAGTAAAATGCTAACTACTAAGCTAAATCATTTTTGTTATTATATTATTTCTATTTATATATTTTCATATAAATTTAATTTATACGGTTGAATCATTTAGCCACTAATTAAACCAATAATCCATTGATACATTGATATGATATCCACAAGTCGATGAATGATCCAAATTTAATAACATTTCTCTCCACAATTCAAAGTGTTTTTTTAAAGTAATATTATTTGAGGAACAAATTCAAAAACTTAATGCATTCAAAATTATTAAACAACATAACCCATGTGAAGCGAAAACGAATGTAGACACCAAAGAGAGAGAATCTATATTTAAAGAAACATTATCTTCATGTGGCTGTAACCCCTGTTCTGTTCTTCTCTCTCCCCTGTTCTTCTCTTTCATCTCCAAACAGTTACCGACCCCATTAATGGCATCAAAACCACTTCAAACAAGGCACTAAATGCCTATGTCAGTGTCCATTGTACGGTATTTTCAACTACCTCACCTCTCTTGATTCAACACACGTCCATCAACTTAAGCATATCTAAAAACACTGCTTATTTTTCCACTTCCCAAGGTTCTGTTGTTCCCTCTGTCCTCTTCTCTGTTACCACCATCATCACCTTTAAACTGAGCTTCCTAGTGGTGGGTCTTTCTTTGTTTTTTTCCTCACAGGTTCTCTTTGATGTAAAGTTGCATTCTTTTCTCCTTCATGTTGAACCTGTTGAACAAAATTTCCTTCTGGGTAGTTTACTTTTGAAAGATAATGTTAGTTTCCATTGAAAATCTTTGAAGTTTAAGGGAAGTGTTTTTGAGTCTGTTGGGTATTTTTTCTTCTTTTTGAATTGGGTAGTCCAAAGCTAGTTACAAGTTTGATGCTCATCTTCATCAAATTTGGTGCATAATGCTCCAAACTGGTTCAAAGAGATGTTTTTGCCTTTGTCTTGTGGTTGTTTCCTTGTTATTGTTCATTCCAAACACACATGAATTACAAGCAGCTCAGACACAAGCCTTGTTACAGTTAAGGATTTATCTTGAGTACCCTGCTTCATTGCAAATTTGGGGAAATTACAATGGAGATTTCTGTAGTCTTTCTTCATCTGCACATATGAGCATTAAATGTGAAGATGATACAGTAACTGAGCTTGAAATTATGGGTGATAAACTTGTAAATGCATCATGGTTCAATGGATTTGCAGTTCCCAATCAGACACTATCGGTGAATTTCTCTATTGATTCTTTTTTTACCACGTTGACAAGGTTAACCAGCTTAAGGGTTCTTAGCTTGGTGTCCTTGGGACTTTGGGGGCCACTTCCTGATAAGATTCACCGTTTATCTTTGCTTGAAGTTTTGGACTTGAGTTCAAATTTCTTATTTGGTGCTATCCCACCGAAAATATCTACAATGGTAAAGCTTCATGCACTAACACTTGATGAGAATTATTTTAATTCCAGTAGTCCTGATTGGTTTGATTCATTGTCTAATCTAAATATCTTGAGTTTGAAGAGCAACAGATTAAAGGGTTCATTCCCCTCTTCACTATGCAAAGTTAAGACACTTCAAGTTATTTCCTTGCCTCACAATGAGCTTTCTGGTGGATTACCTGATCTTAGTACCCTCAATGGCCTACATGTTCTGGATTTAAGAGAAAATCATTTAGAATCTGAACTACCATTGTTGCCAAAAGGAGTAATCACTGTTCTGCTGAGCAAAAACTCATTCTCAGGTGAGATACCTAGGGAGTATGGTGAATTGGATCAGCTTCAACATCTAGATCTTTCATCAAATCATCTCAGTGGGATACCCCCATCTTCCTTATTCTCTTTGCCAAACGTAAGTTATTTGAATCTAGCAAGCAATGTGCTAAGTGGGTCCCTTTCTGACAAACTTAGTTGTGGCACCAAACTTGGGTTTGTGGATATTTCTAGTAACAAGTTACATGGTGGACTTCCTTCTTGCTTGGCCAATACTTCTAATAGTAGAGTTGTCAGATATGGTGGAAACTGTTTATCTTTTGATTCTAGGACTCAGCAAAGAGGGTCTTATTGTAAAGAATCCAATTCAATATGGAAGAAATTCAAGGCATGGAAAGTAGCTGTAGCAGTGGCCATCATTGTTGGACTTGTTCTTGTGCTTTTGGTGTCTGGAGTTTTCTTATGTAAAAAATACCATTCAAGAAAGGCAACTAGGAAGGATATGTTGCTTAAGATTGTTCACGATAACTCCACAACTGGGGTTTCATCTGAACTCCTCGCAAATGCCAGTAAGTACATAGGTTGTTACTTGGGCAATAATGGTGTACTGTTTTGAATTAACAGTTTTCTTCAGATTGTTGTGTCTTCAGATTTTAATTGGATATCCACTTCTAAAATGGTTATATCTTAATTCCTATTTCTTTCAGGATTCATTTCTCAAACAGTGAAGCTAGGGACACAAACTACTCCAACCTGTCGACAATTTTCAATAGAAGAGTTGAAGGGAGCAACAAAAAGTTTTGATTTGTCAACTTATATTGGTGAAGGCTCCATAGGGAAGGTACTTTTCAACCACTCAAAAACTGTGTTTGAATATATGTAGTTCTAATTTATTCCCTATCTATATGTAAACATCGTCTTGCCTTCAAAATATTCCAAATATTTTCTTGCCAAAATTACTTTAGTTTTCTGGAAAGTTGCAATTTCTGAAATCCTTGTCAAGATTGCACTTTTCATATTTCAAAGGGCAACAGTTTTTGGGTCCTTATTCAGTTGTTAGAAGGTCAAGTGATTTTATGTGCATATTAGTAGACAGAGGGAAAATTTTGTCAAACTTGGTTTGTATGGTTAGAGGTCGAGCCTGTAGTAGTGATTGAAAGATCACGGATTTAATTCTAAAAAATAACCTCTTTGCATATATACAACGGTATGACTGCGTATAAGATTGTCCTCACCCCACCCTCGCTAGTCAGTGAGTTATTTTTTTTTGGTTTGTATTGTCACTGTAAATGCCTCTTCTAAGTTTGCTGCCACATTTCAGCTGTACAAAGGTAAACTAGAGAATGGATCCTATGTGGTGGTACGATCTTTGGCTCTGTCAAAGAAATGCTCAATTCAAAATCTTAAAGCTAGGTTGGATTTACTCTCAAAGCTTCAACATCCAAATTTGGTTACCCTTTTGGGTCATTGTATTGATGGTGGTGGACAAGATGATTCCAGCCCCCGCAAACTTCATCTTGTATATGAGTATGTGCCAAATGGAAATTATCGTACCCATTTGTCAGGTTAGTATGGCAGTATAATATACATATTGTTTAGTGCATAAGTTTCAGTTTCACCAACTGCTTCCTTCCTTGTCTATTTGACATCATAAGTTGATTCTGTTATTAATGGCTACTAAAATTGAAATTATATAGAGAAGAGTCTAATTCGGATGTGACTCTATAAATTAGTCTATGTTGAATTTGTGGAATTAGGTACTTCTAAGGTAGGAAAGGTGACTTCAATTAATGTGGAAGAATTTTCCTCTTCATTTAGAAACAGACTGCATTCAAGTTTGCTATCAAACAATAATTATATATTGGCCTTGCAATAGCAGTAAGGTTGCTTCTTGTGACACGAAGGTCACACATTCGACTTTGAAAAACAATCTCTTTGTGAAAGTGTAAGGCTAAGGCTGCATACAATCGACGCCTCACCCGTACTCTTACAAGTCGGGGAGCCTTGTGCACCGGGATTTTCCTTTTAGATTTGATAAAATTAGAAGCCATTAGGAAGTAGTATGACTTATTTTTTGTGATATGTTTATATCACGTCCAACCTTCATAACCTCTATTTTTATTACTATAATCAGTATTATTTCAGCATAATTAATTTTGTACCTCTTAGTTTTATTCTTGAAGGCTTAAATCAACTAATCTTTGCTTTTTTCAAACATGCAGAATTTTCTACAGAGAAGGCACTTAAGTGGTCTGATAGATTGGCAATTTTAATTGGAGTTGCAAAGGCAGTGCATTTCTTACATACTGGTGTTATACCAGGTTGTTTTAATAACCAACTAAAGACCAAGAATGTCTTACTTGATGAACACCGCATTCCAAAACTAAGTGACTATGGTATGTCCATCATCACTGAAGAAATCGAAAAGCATGGGGTATGTTTATTGCAATCAAATATTGCTGTTTTTACCATGATCTAATATGATTGATCCTTGAGTGAATCTTTTGCTTTGTTTGTGTTCTACAGGCAAAGGGTGAGAAGCGAAAATCATGGTATGATACCGTATCTTTTAAGTAAATATAATGCTTAGCTGGTAAAAATCACCAACACAACCATGCTTGATTTTCACTCCTATGAGCATTTGTTTACATTTTCTGATTTTGTATTTGGTTCCATGTAGCCACTTCACTTCTCACTGCCACTACTTCCAATATGTTCTGTTTAGTCTTCACTTTATATTTTCACCCTTCACTATCCACAATCAAGGGTATGAAAAATGAAATACCCCATCTGATATGGTTTGGGGTCCTTTTTTTTATGCTTAAGTGATTTTGTGTTGATCAATAACAAACATATTGTTCTTTTTTCTCCAGCAGTCAAAGGACAAAAGCGGAGAATGATGTTTATAATTTCGGATTCATATTGTTTGAATCACTTGTTGGACCCATAGCAAGTGACAAAGGTGAAGCATTTTTTCTAAATGAAAAGGTTAGTAATTTTTTTTTTTTTTTTAAAACATCTATCTTTTATTTTTGGATGAATAAAACTACTTCTGCTTTACTGAATACATGCAATCTTATGATGATTTTTGAGTGTAAAAAATTATTTGCATTCTTATTTATTTTGATTGTGCTAATTCCAAGCATTTGGAAATTATCTATATGTATTTGCAGCATATACTGATTCCCTAAATCCGCTTGTGACATATAAGTTGATCACTTTCTTTGAGGAGTTTGTTATGAATTTAAATATGAGTAGTAAAGTTCCACATTGGTTAAAAATAGACAAACTGTGGACATGGAAAGATCTATAACCCCAATGTCTTAAGGTTTTGAGTTAAGATATGATGTGGAGCTCCCTTATTACGGTAGATTGTTGCTTAGCCTTTTGATGGTGGTCTTCGTATCATGGGCTCCCTCTAACCAGTTTCAAAATTATACAGGTCTTTATATTTGGGAACAGTGACCATTTTGTCACGCTTGGCAAAAAAATTTACCAGACTGCCACGCCAACAGTAAATTTTGCCAAAATGCCACGCGGCATATTTCGCTACACTGTGTAGCGAAATATGTTTGCAAGTAATTCGCTATACAGTGTAGCGAAATATGCTATATCAAGCTGCACAATCAGCAAAAATGACACGTGTCAAGTAGGCAGAATTCAAGCATAATTCGCTACACAGTGTAGCGAATTTCTGCCTGCTTGACACGTGTTATTTTTTGCTGACTGTGCATCCTGACATGGCATATTTCCCTACACTGTGTAGCGAATTACTTGCAAACATATTTCGCTACACAGTGTAGCGAAATATGTCGCGTGACATTTTGGCAAAATTTACTGTTAGCGTGGCAGTCTGGTAAATTTTTTTGCCAAGTGTGACAAAATGGTCACTCTTCCTTATATTTGAGCAAATTTTTTATTTTTGGGTCACATAATTTGTGATTGCTCCCTTCAAAATTTGTAGAAGTATTTTTTTTTTTTTTGAGTGCTATTTCTAACTTTTTTGACCATATAGATAGTTGTAACTTCAAAGAAGAATATACGTTATAATTTTGCCTCCATCACAAAATTTTCTGGCTCCACCGTTGCTCTAACCATCTAACAAATTTATCATATAAAAATTTCACTGGTCAAATATGAATTCAAACACTCTAGGATACTCCCATTTTCTATGTCCATATTTATATTTGTATGAAATATTCATTTCATATTGTTAATGAATGAATCCAAGAAATGATGTTGTGAACCACAGGCATCCTTTGGGAGTCAAGATGGTAGAAGAAAGATTGTGGATCCAGTAGTGTTGACCACTTGCTCTCAAGAGTCATTATCAATTGCAATTTCTATAACAACCAAATGCATATCTCCAGAATCTTCATCTCGCCCATCTTTTGAGGATGTCCTATGGAACTTACAATATGCAGCTCAAGTTCAAGCCACAGCAGATGCAGACCAGAAATCAGATTCTTACATCATAGGTCCAAGTTTGTAGTAAAGTTCCTTCTCAAACAATGCAGATAAAGAAAGTAGGGATATCTATAAGTAAAAAAACAATGCAAGATGTCAATCTTCATTGCAAATATAAAGGTATAATTGTAAAAATGTTCTCTCTATTTTTATGTTTCTTCTAGAGTTTTGATAGGAAATAGTTACTTAGGATTCATATATACCTTTTAGAAACAAGTAAAGTAGGAATTTATTAGGCCAATGAAGCAAATCATGAACTTGACTAACTAGTGATAGCATGAATGTTCCTAGAAATATTCTGGTGGATGTAGTTCTCATTCTTGTGGTTATTTGAAGGACAATTTAAGAAAAAGATTAGAATAGCAATTAGTTTATGTGCTTTCAATCTCTCTTTGGATCTGGGTTGTTAAGAGTTAATTTCTACTTTTAGATATCTATTTTTATAGAGAGTGATCGTTAGAGTAATGTTAAGGCTGCTCTTTGTGACAAGAAGGTCATAAGATTGAATATAAGAAATCATCTTTTCACAAAAATGTAAGGGTAAATTTGCATATAAATGGAGCTTCACCCCTACTCACAAATTTTTTAATTCATTTGAATTTTGGTTCAGACAATAGTTCTTATATTTTTTAGTTATTTGACATTTAATTTTTATAATTTCTACACATTAAGGTATTGGACTATTAGTTTCATTTTTTATGTATATAAGTATTGGTTTATGAGACTGGATGTCTAAAATCTTTTTGAAAATGAGAGGGTTCGATAAAAAAAGAAAATTGAATCATAAAGATTAAAATATATATTAAGAAAAATTATAAAAATTATTTATCTATTTTAACCTGAGAAAATAACGCGTTACATCAACAATCAACCCAAAAATCAAATATAATGTGTATTAAATACCAAATAAACGAAATATAATTTCTAATATATGGACATCAAATAATCATTTTCTAAATTTTAATTATTCTTTAATACTATAGCTAACTGGACTTGAAAATGCCTCTGAAATTGAATATTTCAACTCTTCAATTATGCATGCAGACTCTTAAATGGTAAATATATGCCATCTAAATATATTTTTAGATTAAAAAGTCAATTCTTCTTAGGGTATTAGGTGAACGTTCATAAATAATTTTTATATTTAACACATATTTACTTTTTCAAGAATAAGTAATAAAGATTGATCTTCCGAGTCACGTCCACAATTTAGTAACAAGGACTTTAATTTTTATAAAAATTTAATTTATCAGGTGAATGTTGATAAATGATTTTTATATTTAACGCAAGTAGGAAAATCTGAAATGATCACGATTCAGATTTTCACACTCACGTATAAGATCTCAAGCATTACAATTATTTTTATTTTTTTTTAGTGTTCTTTTTGGTCGAATTTCTTGAGTGTTGATATATTTCAGTGGGATGAGTCCCACATTAGTTGGTAATGGACTAAGTGAAGAGTATATAAGTGGAAGAGACCATGAACTCAATGCCTTAAGGTTTTGGATTGAGACATGATGTCGGATCCACTTGCTACGGTTAGTGTAGCTTAGCCCATTGGTGGTGTCCCCCGCCACGGGCTTCCCCTGGATCCGTCTGACATTGGTATCAGAGCCGGATTGAGATCGAGCTAACCTGGTGATTGGCTAGGAGGCAGGTTTAGTACGGGTTGGGATCGACGAGCTAGCCTGGTGATTGGCTAGGAGGCAGGTTGAGTACTTGGGTCTCAAGGTACGATATTCCAATGTGATGAGTCTCACATTGGTTGGTAATGGACTAAATGAAGAGTATATAAGTGGAAGGGACCCATGAACCCAATGATGCCTTAAGGTTTTGGGTTGAGACATGATGTCAGATCCACTTGCTACGGTTAGTGTAGCTTAGCTTATTGGTGGTGTCCCCCACCACGGGCTTCCCCCTGCATCCGTCTGACATAACTGAGTACTCCTGGCCCAAGTACTCAACTCGCCTCCTAGCCAATCATCAGGCTAGCTCGAGCCCAACCCGACTTTGATACCACTGTTAGGCGGGTCCAGGGGAAGCCCGTGGCGGGGGGCCACCACCAATAAGCTAAGGCTACACCAACCGTAGCAAGTGGATCTGACACCATGTCTCAACCTAAAACCTTAAGGCATTGAGTTCATGGGTCCTTCCACTTATATACACTTCACTTAGCCCATTACCAACCAATGTGAGACTTCACACTTGAATATCTCAACAATCTTCGCCTCAAGTGTGAAACCCAACATTGATATGCTCCCTCTCAATCGAGTACCTCAAGCGCAAAGTACTCGACCCGCCTCCTAGCCAATCACCAGGCTAGCTCGAGCCCAACCCGGCTCTGATACCAATGTCAGACGGGTCCAGGGGGAAGCCCGTGGCAGGGGACCACCACCAATGAGCTAAGTTACTCCAAGTACACCAAGTGGGTCTGACACCACATCTCAACCCAAAACCTTGAGGCATTGGGTTCATGGGTCCTTCCACTTATTTACACTTCACTTAGCCCATTACCAACCAATATGAGACTCATCACACTTGAATATCTCAACATTGAGTACCTGAGTTCGATCAACAAAAGAAATACAATACTACTTACATATATTTGATTGGGTTATACTTTTTTTTTCAGGTATATATGCTACATGCTTAGTACTATCATATATATACATTTATTAGATATTTGTTTGAAATTATTTTTATAAAGTAAGATTATATTCAAAGCGAGTAAAATGAAGATGTATTTATTTATTATTTAATTTAAAATACATCGTAATATTTACTAAAATTTAACAATAAATATATCTTTACATATTCATTCCACAAATAAATTCATGTCAGAATATTTTTCCAGACATTAAAAAGTATAATCTTTTACAGAACAATTTATATCACCATAAAGATTTTTTTTCTCCAGAATTTTTCTTAACTCTACCTGAAAGACTATCCTTGATTTGAAGAAGAATTGATAAAGATGTGTACCAATGCTATATATATTTCGAACAGAGCCACTTGTTGCTCTGGTGGTCCCTTGGCATCAATTAATTTTTAAAAGTGGTACAATTTTTTTAAATTATGATACAACCTTAGCATTAGTTGAGTTTTTATAAATAAATCTTGACATCGGATGAATTTTATGTGGTTGGTTCATTTGGCACCAGTTGAATTTTACTTCTAGCTTTGCCACTGATTTTGAACCATTAAAATTTTTATATTCAAATATAATTTTGTTAATTTAAATTCAATTTAACAACTAGCATATCAAAGCTAAAAAATTAAAAATAAAAACCCAACTATATATGAGATCAAAGAGTATTATTAATCTCATGTTAAAGAAGATAAATTATCTCATGTCATAGAGATAAAATTGTGGACCCTACTATTTGTAAAAAAAAAATAAAAAATAAAAAAGCTCATAGGTCCCACCTTTTTATTAGTGTAGGAATTTTTTTTTTTCTTCTTTGACATAAGAAAATATTTTCCCCAGATGAAATTATCATCTTTAAAAGAGATGATTTAAGTTGTTGACCTACTAATGGTTAAACCTTGAGCACTTAAAAGAAAGAAAGATGAAACCCCATTTAGAAGTGTCTCACTCTTCAGTTTTGGTTTCGTAATGAAAAACTCAATTAGCGAGTGGAATACTTGAATGTCAAATTAGGGAAGGAGAGTTGTCAAATCCCACCTGAATTTCAGACAAATGTATACCATCTTTAAATAACGTGGAAGAAAAGAAAATTATATGTTATATTTAATGCTTGGTTGAGTCTCTCATGGATTATGATATGGAAGTAGACATCTCAACCCATGCCATTATCCTTTCTAGTGAATGGCCAACTTGTATCCGTTTATGTCATAGGATTAAGCTCTATAATTTTTGTAATTGTCTATAATCTAGTAAATCTTGAACTCATATAACATTATAAATAAAGAAAATAAAACAAATGATTATAATTGAGTTATTTATTTTTAGTTTTAATCGATGTAATACATAGCCTTCAACACTGCAGAAGTGTTTCTAATTTTTTTTAAGTGATATTTTCGTCAATGTATCAAATAATAAATTATAATAAATGGATAGATACTATATTTCAACCCAACACCAATAATGAATAGAGGTGAGAATGTTTAACACGATTGGTCACACGACACAAAAAATTCGTATTTGGATCGACTCATTTTTAAATTTGTGTCATTTTTGTATTGGAAAATATTGACAAAAAATATCTGTGTCGTGTTCATGTTAACCTGCGAATCCAAAATTGATATGTGCTAATCTTCTTACAAATTATTTGTATCATAACAAGTTATTCATATCTTATCGTGTTGTGTTAGCCCGCATAATAAGTAACATGATTTGGGGTTGACAAGTTGTTCATGTCGTGTCAATCCATATAATAAGCAATACACTATGAATTTGCAGATTATTCGCGTCGTGTCATGTCAACCCGCAAAATAATGTCAACCTGCAAAATAAGTGAGTCATGTTTGTATCGAATGTTTTAACCCAATTTTAAATTCGTGTTGTATTCATATTAAATGTATTCGTGTTCATGTTGAATTTGTATTGTCACCCATAAATAAGTGAATTTATTGATATTTTTCACTTATATGATCTTCTCATTTGATTCATTTCTAACCAATCTAAAACTTCTCACAATTTAATTTCCAACCACAAAGTTGGATTTTATCTATAATACATATAAAAAATTTTATACTCCAATAAACACCTTTAATACTTATATATATATATATATATATATATATATATATATATATATATCTATTCATATTAATTTATAAATAATAAATCTTATACTAAATGTTAATAATTAATATACTTCCAACTGACTCTTCTAAATTATTAATCACATAAAAAGTCTACGCAAGTGATTACTACCCCCTATATAATTTTAAGGGAATATAGTTTGGGTTTTATAAGAGATATGTTGTAGGAAAAATGATTCTGTAATGTTATAGAGATTCGTTTTGCGTGTCGTAGTTTTTTTTTGCTTCAAAAAGTGTGGGCCCCACAAAATGTTGTGTGTGCAGGAAATATTTTTGTGTCATGTTAAATGATGAATGCAAACCCCATATAGTTTCTTATAGTACATGCAACATACAAAAGGTGGGTGCGATCTATTAAGGAGAAGAGAGACAAAAAAAACAAGTAAATTCCACTTATCTTTTTGTGTGTGCATAAAATAAAATTATTTCGTATAAGATAAGAAAATATATTCCATAATTTTAATAGTAATACAAGTTTAAGTTTAGGCTATGCTAAGCCTATGTTGGTGGATATGTTTTAAAACTCGGCCCGATCATTGATTCGATCGAAGTATTGAGTGAGTGATTCAATCGGTAAATTACTAATTCAATCACATAAATTAAATTTTTAAATAATTTATAATAAATATTAAATTATAAATATTATGACCAATAAATAAAAGTGATCCAACGGTATTTTTCGAACTTCATAATTTAACATAAAATCAGTTTAACTAAAAAATCAGTACCGGTTCAACATTGGCTGAACCCAATTTTGATCTGTTCCGATCTCGGTGGGGTGAAGATGCAAGGAAAACCAGAATCCCTGCTCAGTCTTTTGCCTTGAACTTTGTGTACTATGGGTTTAGAGAGCACACATGTCTAAGGCCATTACGTAGAAAAGACTCATGGGGTACCGTGTTTGTGTAGCGTATTCTTCACGCGCAGTTATGCATATTTGTTAGAGTAAACCAACACCTTGATGTCTTGTAACTTCTATTCTCACGAATTGAAAGACACACTCCTTCAACGAACCTGAGAAAACTTGTATATTTCCTAATCAATTTTTTTATAATATTTAATATAAGTTCCTATTATAATACATATTATATATTACAAAAATAAAATCATAATAAAATTTAAAGTCACCTAAGTTTTATTATCTTATATATAAATGGGAACAGATTCATTTAACACGAAAAATATTTACTACTCTTACGATCAATTTAATTACCGTTGATTTTCCTCAATCTAACAGTTATAATTTATTGAAAATTAATAGCATTTATTGTGTCATATTTATTTATTAATTATTAATTCTCAATAGATTATAATTATTAGATTGATAAAAATCAACGGTGATTAGATTGATTGTAAATGTGATAAATTTTTTTATGATAAATATATATATACTTCCCCTGTATAAATTACTGGAGACAAAGAAACAAGTGTAACACTAACTTATAATTTAAGGTGGTAATTTCAAAGTCACTTAATCTGGCGAGGCATCACCATCACGGAACATGGTTGAGTTCAGTAGTTTACACCAAACGAGGTGCTTTATCCTCACCAAATGGATTATAGTTATATTCTTGGACAACAAAATGCGCCAACCTCTTTATTTTTTTTTTTAATCACTTTAACATTGAATTTCCCTCCTTTATCTTGATGCCCCTATATATATATATATATATATATATATATATATATATATATATATATATATATATATATATATGTATATATATAGGGAAATCATTATCTCCTTCTACATGAGATAAGAACTTTTTTCTACACAAATTCGTTTTCCGTGCCAATTAATTTTTCTTTTCTTTTTTAATTTAAAATGTGGGACCCACATTTAACTTATCTCTACTTTTTTTCTCTCCTACTATCCTACAACATAAGAAAATATGCACCCTATGTATATATATATATATATGTATATATATATAGAGGGAGGATCCTTTGACACTAGTGTCAAATTTGAAGTTTGACACCTCATATGAGAGCCATTAGATCATAAAAGATCAATGGCGTCACATGCTTACAAATCAGAGCGATTGATCTTTTTTGATCTAATGACTATCAGATGAGGTGTCAAATTTCAAATTTTGACACCGGTGTCAAAGGATCCTGCCTCATATATATATATATATATATATATATATATATATATATATATATATATATATATATATATATATTCCAGTGAGTTAGTGTTACTTGAAGCTCTGACTGAAAAGTGAACTAGAATCAAGAATGTCTGAACCAAATAGAATTTGTTTTTTTTTTTAAAAAAAATCACTACACATAGTTATCTTATGATCTCACAAAAATGGTGACCCCATTTCTTTCTGATTCTTCCACCACCACCACCAGCAGCTGTTTTTCCTGGTAAGGTCTACATTACACCACTGGCTCTTCTTTCATGCATTCTTTTCTATGTCACAAAATTGATGACTTTTATGTTTGGTGTTTAACTTGTGTGTTTTAGCTCCCAGTTGTACACATTTTTTTATTTTTTTTTATTTGTTTGGTTCTTGTAAGCACTTTGTTGATATGATCCTTCTAACTCAAAAGTTAAGAACTTCTTGCATTTGTATATTAATTAAGTTCACAGGTTGTTTTTTTTATTGCATTAGAATTATGTGCAATTAGTTTGTGAAATCATTTTGAGCTCTCATGCTGGTTTTGTTTCAGAGGGTTTGTGATTCTAAACATTCAATCCAAGTTGAAGTAAAAGGATCACTTGGAAGCCATGGTTCTAGGGTTGAGAGGAAAGAACAGGAGAAGTGCCACAGTTCAAATTGATTACCTTATTCATATTCAGGAGATTAAGCCTTGGCCCCCATCACAATCTCTAAGATCCCTTCAATCTGCATTGATAGAATGGAAGAATGGTGAATGTGCATCAGGTTCTACCAATCTTGTTTCCCCTTCACTTGGTTCTGTTTTAGGTGAAGGTAGAATAGAATTCAATGTGTCATTTAAACTTCCTGTAACTTTGATGCGGGATATGAATGTAAGAGGTGGTGATGCTGATGTGTTCCAAAAGAATTGCTTGGAGTTCAACTTGTATGAGCAGCGAAGAGAAAAGATTGTTAAAGGTCAGTTGTTGGGGACTGCCATTGTAGATTTGGCAGATTATGGGATACTTAAAGAGACATTGAGCATTAATGCACCTATGAACTGCAAGAGGAGTTACAGAAACACAGATCAGCCACTTTTGTTCATTAAAATTCAGCCTGTTGAAAAGAATCGCGCTAGCCCCTCATTGAAGGATAGCTTTTTGAAAGAAGTGTTGAAGGACAATATTGGTGGTGGTTCTGTATCTACACTGATGAATGAAGAATATGCTGAGGAATCTGAGATTGCCTCTTTTACTGATGATGATATCTCCTCACATTCATCTGTGGTGGCAGTTTCTACTTTCCTTGAGTCTAGTGGGTTTATACCTTCTAAATTGGATGAGGTACTAATTTATATCATTTGTTGATAGCAGCATGAATTTTACATGTATAAAGTACTCATTTATTTTAACTATGTTAATGTGCTTACCTATTTGCAATTATGCATGGTCCTCTTGTCTCATGCAAAGATAATATGTACCCATAATTGTAGAAAATCAGAATTCAAACATGTTTCCGTTTTTATTTCCTATTAATTAGGACTGATTATGATTGATTAGGATTGATTGTGATTGATTAGAATTGATTGTGATTAGGATTGATTAGTCATCGCTTAGTCATTCTTAGCGATTCTTTCTTGTATAAATACTCACTCATGTAAATTATTCAATATCAATATACAAAAACTTCTTTTCAATATGGTATCAGAGCGGGTTTGTTCCTACCCTAATTCAAATCTGAAATAACCATCCAAACACTTCCATCACCGTCAAACACCTCCTAAACACCTCCTTGAATCTGTCCAACACAGAAACCTAGTCTACTGACCTCCGATCAAGAAAGTGAGGTGACCATTCGACTCAGATGGATCCGACGAGTCGACCGCCGCGGGACCCATCGCCGTCAACCGCCGCACGCGCCGCCACGCGCCGTCACACGTGCAGCCAGTCTCCGGCGCGTGAGCTCCACGCGCCGCCTTCCCAACGTCTTTTTCCGCCGCAACTTGCACAGACCTTCTCGTCGGCTTCTCCCCTTCCTGTTCCAGAGGTCAGATAAAAAATTTACAAAACTTGATTTTTCATCAACGGTCAACCCTTCTCTTTCTATTCATGGCTTCCTCAAAACACTCTTCCGCCTCCTCATCTTCCGCCTCCTCATCACCCCTTCCTAAGGCCATTAGTCATGTGGTCCAGCAAGGTACAACTTTCCATGTTGATAGTCAAAATCATTGGATCCTTGATTCTGGAGCCTCTGATCATATGACAGGTAATCTTGGCTTGTTTTGTTCATACACTCCATATTCTGAACCTTCTCGGGTCAAGATCGCCGATGGCAGTTTTTCCCAGATTGCGGGACACGGAACCATTAAACTTTCTGAGCTGATTACTCTGACATCAGTTCTTTATGTTCCTTCTCTGACTTGTAATCTCATTTCCATTAGCAAGCTCACCTCTGAGTTGCATTGCTTTGCTAAATTCTTTCCACATGGTTGTGTTTTTCAGGAACAGGACTCGGAGAGGATGATTGGCAGTGCTAGAGAGGATGGTGGACTTTACTACTTTGAGGAGGATGTGACTCATGAAGCTGTTTTCGTAGAAAAAAACTCTATGTTTCCTTTTGATTCATGTAATGATGTTATGCTGTGGCATCGTAGACTAGGCCATCCAAATTTTATTTATCTTCAGAAGTTGTTGCCAAACTTATTTATTAATAAAAGTCCAAGTTTGTTTTCTTGTGATATTTGTCAACTTGCCAAGCATACTCGTGCTCATTATCCTTCTAAAGTTCACCATGACTCTTCCCCATTTTCCTTAATTCATAGTGACATATGGGGTCCAACCCGTGTTAAAAATATTTCAGGTACTCGATGGTTCATTACCTTCATTGATGACCATTCTCGAGTCTGTTGGGTGTATCTTCTAAAGGATAAGTCCGATGCTGCATCAATGTTTAAAAAATTTCATGCCATGGTTCAAACCCAATTCCAAGTTGCTATACAAATTCTTCGTACAGATAATGGCAAAGAGTATTTTAACTCTATTCTTGGAGAATATCTTTCCCAACATGGCATCCTTCACCAAAGCTCGTGTCCTGACACACCCCAACAAAACGGAGTTGCGGAAAGAAAAAACCGACATCTCCTTGAAGTTGCTCGGGTTCTTATGTTTACCACGAGTGTTCCTAAATATCTTTGGGGAGAGGCAGTTCTCACTGCCTCGTATCTGATAAATCGAATGCCATCTCGCATTCTAAAATTTCAGTCTCCTCTTTCTAGTCTTGTTCGTATCTTCCTTTCCTTCCGAGGTGTCTCCTTTTTACCTCTCAAGTTATTTGGTTGCGTTGTATTTGTCCATATTCCCTCCCATCAACGGTCTAAGCTTGATCCTAAGTCTCTTCAGTGTGTCTTTATTGGTTATTCTCCTACTCAACGTAGCTATAAATGTTATTCACCCTCTCTTCGTAAGGTCTTTGTCTCTATGGATGTCACTTTTTCTGAGAATGACCCTTTCTTCCCCTCGACTTCTCTTCAGGGGGAGTCTATAGGAGTAGATGAAGATCAGTCATGGGAACCTACTGATGCCACTGTATTACCTCTACTTTTGGAAACAGGGGGAGCTACAGAATCCTCACCATCAAGAGCCTCCTCAAAATGGGGACAAGTTTATAGCAGGTGAAAGCCTCCTCAAAGTGTGAATAACCCAGAGCCTCTACATTGCCAGGATTCTGAACCATGTTCTAGTTCCAGCACCCCAATACTTGAGTGTCATTGTGAAAATGATCTACACTTGCCCATTGCTCTCATAAAAGGTACTCGATCTTGTACTACTCATCCTATTTCTAATCATATTTCATATGGAAAGTTGTCCCCAGGGTTTCGTGCTTTCAATACTATGTTGGATAGTACAAAGATACCGAGAAATATACATGAGGCTCTTAATGATAAAAAATGGAGGGATGCTGTCTTTGAAGAAATGAATGCTTTAGAAATAAATGGAACTTGGGAGATAGTGACCCTACCCAAAGGAAAACAGGCAGTAGGATGCAAATGGGTGTTTACAATAAAATTCAATGCAGATAATAGCATCAACAGATACAAGGCAAGATTGGTTGCAAAGGGTTTCACTCAGACTCATGGGATAGATTATCATGAGACTTTTGCTCCGGTTGCTAAAGTCAATACCATCCGAGTTCTCTTATCTCTTGCTGCCAATCTAGATTGGCCTCTGCAACAGTTAGATGTGAAGAATGCATTCCTAAATGGTGACTTACATGAAGAAGTCTATATGGATCCTCCACCTGGTTTTGAAAAGGGAAATGGATCAGTGTGTAAGCTAAAAAGGTCTCTATATGGATTGAAACAATCTCCCAGAGAATGGTTCGACAAATTCACACAAGCAGTCAAAAGAAGAGGCTTCATTCAAGCACAGACTAATCATACTCTCTTCCACAAACACTCTAAGGATGGTAAAATTGCTATTCTTATTGTATATGTAGATGATATAATTCTTACAGGTGATGATATTGAGGAATTGAACACCTTGAAGAAATTTCTAGCAGCTCAATTTGAACTCAAAGACCTTGGCACTCTCAAATATTTCCTTGGTATGGAAGTTGCTAGGAGCAAAACAGGCATCACTCTAACACAAAAGAAATATGTTCTAGATCTTTTGTTGGAAACAGGAATGTTAGGGTGTAAACCTGCTGAGACACCTGTGGAACCTAATACCAAGTTAGGTATTGAAGATGGGAATGAGGTGGATAAAGAACAATATCAGCGATTGGTTGGTAAACTAATCTACTTATCTCATACGCGTCCTGACATTGCCTTTGCGGTGAGTATGATTAGTCAATTCATGCATTCACCCAAGGAGAAGCATCTTAGTGCAGTCTATAGGGTGCTTAGATACCTCAAGAATACTCCAGGAAGAGGATTATTCTTTAAAAAGGGGTATAAAAGGACAATTGAAATCTACACTGATGCAGATTGGGCAGGCTCATCAGTAGACAGGAGATCTACCTCAGGCTATTGCACCTATGTGGGGGGAAATCTTGTTACTTGGAGAAGCAAAAAGCAAACAGTGGTTGCAAGAAGTAGTGCTGAAGCAGAATTTCGAGCTTTAGCTCATGGAGTTTGTGAAGGAATCTGGTTGAGAAGACTTCTTCAAGAGTTGAAGATTTCATATTCCCTACCAATAAAACTATATTGCGACAACAAGGCAGCTGTTAGCATTGTTCAAAATCCTGTGCATCATGATCGAACAAAGCACGTGGAAGTTGATCGTCACTTCATCAAAGAAAAATTAGATGATGGAAGTGTGCATTTGATATATGTTCCAATCAAAGAGAAAATGGCAGATATCCTTACCAAGGGCCTACACCGTCCAGCATTCGAAGACTTGATTGGCAAGTTGGGAATGATCAATATTTACCTCCCAACTTGAGGGGGAGTGTAGAAAATCAGAATTCAAACATGTTTCCGTTTTTATTTCCTATTAATTAGGATTGATTATGATTGATTAGGATTGATTGTGATTGATTAGAATTGATTGTGATTAGGATTGATTAGTCATCGCTTAGTCATTCTTAGCGATTCTTTCTTGTATAAATACTCACTCATGTAAATTATTCAATATCAATATACAAAAACTTCTTTTCAATAATAATATTAGAAAGAGAGAGAGATGTGACTCCTTGAAAACTTGTAGTCCCACTCCATGAACTAAGATTTTGAAAATTATTTTTATGCATTGCAATTTTTTGGTCAAACAAACGTGGTTTGGACCAATTTCAATAGAGTAAACCATTGCAACTTCTATAAACTTGGTGCTTGTTAAATAAGGTTTATGACTTGCCATCAAGGGTGACTGAACCTAGTGATATCAAATTATTAGTGTCTCATTGTTATGTATAAAAAAATGTAAGAAATCATATTTTTATGTTTTCACAAATGTTGTGGTAAATTGGTAAGACAACCTTCTTGTTTGTTATAGCTGAATATATTAATAAAATCCTCATCAAGCAATATAGTAATTACAATTGAATTGCAGAATGGACCAAAAGGACCAATTCGAAACACTGGTATGAATGACAAGGAACATCCCTTGGTTTCAAAAACAAGGCTTGTAAACAAGAATATGATGCAACAAGATGCATACAAGAAACTTGAGAGGAGTTCAACTTACATGTCATCAATGGATGTACCTTCTGTTCTTGAAAGTTCAGTAAATGGTCATGCTTCTAACTCTCCTAATCGTAATTCATTGTCAACCCAAAAGCATGTTGCTTCACCTTGTGCCTATTCTTCTTCTCCATCTTCATCTTGTGACAATTTATATGTAACTTCTAGGAGTAGCACAAGAAGCAATGATAATGAAAATTTGGATCAGAATTTTCATGAAAAGGTGGCTAATTGTAGAAATATAGTTACAGATGTTCAAAGAAACAGTAACAAAAGTACTTTTAATATTTATTCAGGGAACACATCATCTCAAGATAATTTTGATACTTCTGAATGTAATGACAAATTAAATGGGACATATAAGGAAACTGACAAATACTTTGTGAAGGAGGGAGGATGTGATAAAATTTACAGTGGTTCTGTTGAGGACATACATGGAAATGAAAATTCTAATTTGGAAAGACAAAACTGCATGGAAGATGAACAATTGGTAGCTCAAGGTGCCAAAGATCAAGTCTTTTTGGGTGGCACTGCATATTCTTTTGGTGGGTCAAATATTGGCAAGCAGGGCAATATTCCAAAAAGTGAAAGATCAAAGAGTATGAAGTCTGCAAGATCTCCAGAAGACTCAACTAGGAATTGTGGAATGCTAGGAAGCAATCATCATGCTGAAGTAAACGAAAATGGCATTCTTGGAGATGCACAAAACAGTGGAGGGAATAGCAGAAGCAATGACAAAAGAGCTGCTAAGATTTATCCAAAGGAAGCAAGAAATGCTAGTTTAGATGGCAAAATTGAGCATTTGGAAAAGAAGGTAAAGATGCTTGAAGGAGAGTTAAGAGAAGTCGCTGCTATTGAGGCTGCTTTATATTCAGTAGTTGCTGAGCATGGAGGCTCTATGAGTAAGGTCCACGCCCCAGCTCGGCGCCTTTCCAGGCTGTATCTTCATGCTTGTAAAGAAAATATTCAAGGAAGAAGGTCTGGGGCAGCTAAAAGTTCTGTTTCAGGATTAGTACTTGTTGCAAAGGCATGTGGAAATGATGTCCCAAGGTACATTTAAGCCATATTTCTTACTGCATTTTATTCCAAGAAATTTCCTTGTTATCCTTTAAGCAATTGAACTAACATTTTTAAATTATCCATTAGTACTAAGAATCACAAGTTGCACTGTCATGAGAAGTTTGTTATTCATTATGTGGAAAATTCCCTTATGCTGAACTTGTGATACATTGCTCTACAAAATATTTTCTAAAATGGGAATAATCTTAATCTAAACTTTATTTTAAAAGAATGATGAAATGGATAACCTACTTCAAATTATAAAATGTGCCAGATTAGTGGTTAGAGGTTATTCAACTGATGTTTTGATGAATTTTGATGCCTGAGATGGAAATTATATTTTTGTCATAAACTGTTCCAGTTAGTTGATCTCTCTTCTTGCTTCTGATTACAGGTTAACCTTTTGGTTGTCTAATACTATAGTGTTGAGAACAATTATAAGCCGAACCACCAAAGATTTGGTTCCATCAAATCCTAGTGGATCAAGTAGGAGAAGGAAAAGTGAGGGACAGGGGTATGGCAAGATAGCAACATCTTCACTAAGGTGTAAGGGATTCTACCCTGGAAAAAATGAAAATACAACATTAGGGTATGGAGGTTTTGGTAACTGGGATGATCCCCATGTATTCACATCAGCACTGGAAAAGGTGGAAGCTTGGATCTTCTCTCGCATTGTAGAATCTATCTGGTGGCAGGTAATTCCTTAATCTTATCCTCCCCTTGAACAATCCTATTTTACTGCTTCATTGGTTGATGGTTAAATAAACCATTCCCCAATAAACCCCGGCTAGCGAGGGTAGGATAAGGGTAATCCTTATACACAACCTTATCCTTGTATACATGCAAATAGACTGTTTCCCGATTCAAACCGTGACCTTTCAGTTGCAAAGGAGTAACTTTTCCACTACTCCAAGCTCGCCCTCATTGGTTAATTGTTAAATACCACAATTTATTGGCATTAACATGAATCCTTCTTTGTCTATATCCAGACTCTTACTCCACATATGCAGCCTATTGATACAAAGTTGACTTACAAAGAAGTGACTTCTGCCTCAAGGAGAAGCTATAAAAGGATATCTAGCTCATGTGATCAAGATCAGGGTAACTTGTCACTAGATATTTGGAAGAATGCTTTTAGGGAAGCCAGTGAAAGACTCTGTCCTATTCGAGCCGGAGGGCATGAGTGTGGCTGTTTGCCTATGCTGCTTAGATTGGTCAGTCTAATCTAGTCACCTCTCAATCTACTTCATGCTCAAAGAAACTTAAGTTTTTCATCATATTGTTTTGTTTTACTTTTAAGTGTCATTTTTCTGTGAGTTTGGCTAGGGTCAGTAAGGCTAAAAGCTTTGAAAGGGGTGACTGTCTAAACAAAGAAAAATGGAGAATCTCTGCATTTGCTGACAAAATAAAAATGAGAGCAGCAATGAACAGAAACTCTAGACCACTTTGTCATAAAGTTTCTAATACGCTGTGATGAAACAACTATGCCAAAAGTTTAAGTTGTTAGGTGAAGATATACACAGTGGCGGAGCCATGTGTTACCTGGGTGTGGCCTCGGCCCGAGCTAAATTTTAACAAATTGTACTTATCATGTATAATTATATAATTAATTGTAATTTGGCCCAGTCTAAAATTATAATTTGACCCGGGATAAAATTTGTAATTTGGCCTTGTCAAAATATTAAAATATATTTGGTGAGAGATTTGGGTAAGTTGTATTAAGTTATGTGTTCCATTTCCATTTATATAAAAAAATTAAAATATATTCAATAAAAATATTTAATAAAATTATAATTATTTTTTATGCTTCCTAGTCGGGTGTTTTGTATTTAATATAATTTAAATATATTAAGATATGAACTAACTAAAATTAAGAAAAATAAATACACATATAATTTTTTTGGCCCGGACTCTTATTGGAGCCTGGCTCCGCCACTGGATATACATGAATGACTTTATATTATATTTCAAGCAACTTTATCACAAATTCCTGGGAGGATATGGGACTTTGACAAACTTGTGTAAAGTTTATTGTAGAAACAATGGCAGATATAAGGTGTGCATTTTATGTCTGGTTTTTTGGTTCTCATGAATCAATCACGGTGGCTGACTAGCAAGATACTTTCATCTTTAATATCTTTACTGGATAATGTCTAGAAGGGGTGAGAAAAATTATGTTTTTTATGCAAATTTCTTAAGCACAAAGTTAAAATATCTACAAATGTGTTTTTTCCCCTCCAAAATTTATATCTCTGAATAAAATATGAATCCATATTGCATCTAAGTTCATTACTTTAGTCAATGAAAGCTCTTCTTTTCCTCTATCATGACATCGGAATGCATTTCTTCTGCTACTTAAATCTAGATAATGGAGCAGTGTGTTGCGAGATTAGATGTGGCTATGTTCAATGCTATTCTTCGTGAGTCTGCTGATGAAATCCCAACTGATCCTGTATCTGATGCGATTAGTGATCCCAAGGTTCTCCCCATTCCACCAGGGAAATCAAGCTTTGGAGCTGGTGCACAGCTAAAAACTGTGGTAACTACTCAGTTCTCAATAGTTTTATGTAAACTTGAATATCTGGCCATCCACTCATGAATTTAATTCCAACACGGATATAAGTTTAACTTACACCTTTCTTTTAGCTGATATCTCTCTTTTAAGTTATCCCAATCTAATTCCACTCATGAATCAAGCATTGCATGTACCTTTAAAATTAGGATAGGAATATGGCTTTTTGGCCTGGTATTGGCAGAACAACTCTTGAATTAGAGGATGACAGCAAAGTTTGAATATAATTGTTAGAGAAATATAATATAAAATCATTAATGTAGCCTTAGCTAACAGCTTAAGCTTTTGGTTTGAAATGATTCTTTACATGATATCAAGGTCTCTGTGGCTAAGTGGTCAAGAATTCAATCCCCACAGCCCTCCATTCTATTAGAAATAATAATTAAATATTGTGGAGTTTTTTAGCACGGGTAGGCAGAGCTCGATGTATTGTCCACACTTCAAGCTCAATAGACTCTTGTGCGAAGAGACGTGTTAGAGAAATATAATATAAAACCATTAATATACATCACCTAACAGCTTAAGTTTTTAGGCTGAATTGATTCTTTACAATAATGTACCGAAGATAATTTTCTTGTCGTCATTGATATGTTCTATTCATTTATGTCATCATTTTGTTATTGTCAGATTGGGAACTGGTCTAGATGGTTAACTGACCTATTTGGAATGGATGAAGATGAGTCACTTGACGATAAAGATGACATTGGTAACAATGAAAAGGGACAAAATACACCCTTCAAGTCCTTCAGTCTTCTTAATGCACTAAGTGATCTTCTGATGCTTCCTAAGGATTTGCTCTTAAGTGCATCCACCAGGAAAGAGGTTTGCCATTGAGATTGAACTTTTCTTCATGTAGTTGCTAACTTGTTATAAGTTTCATCTCTTCAGTCATGCTAAAAGGATTCTTATTTGTGAAGGTATGCCCGATGTTTAGTGCACCACTTGTCAAGAAGATTCTAAACAATTTTATCCCAGATGAGTTCTGCCTTGATCCTGTTCCTGCTATTGTTTTTGAAGCTCTAGACTCAGAGGTTGGATATCAAAATATGCAATTAATACTTTTGGGCTCATAATGTATATAGGATTTTTTATTGTACTTGTTGCATATATAATCAAATGCATAAAAACAAGGCAATATAAAGTCCCCCCTATGCATAGGGTTCAAGGAAGGGTTTAACATTTCCTTGAATTTGCAAGAGGCTATATAAATGATTAGAATATTCGTATGCTAAACTAATGTGTGGGTCTATATTAGGAAACCTTACCTTATATTTGCAAGAGGTTGATTACGTGAATCAAACCCTGGAGACAATACCAACTGTTGTGCCAGCATATATAATGCTATGCAATTTATTTATTCACTCCCCGTTAAACCCAACCCCAATTAGCGAGGGTAGGGGTTAGAGCAATCCTGATACGAAGCTTTATCCTTGCATACTTTGGAAAGAGGCTATTTTCAGAATAGTCACAAAGGAATAGTTTTACCACTGCTCTAAGCTCGCTCTCTTATATAATCATATTTAATAAAAACAAAAGAAAATAAAAACTACTCCCCGTCAAACCCCGACTTGCAAGGGTAGTGGTACATATAATCATATGCATACATAAATACACACATTATACTTGAGTAAGTTCAAGCATGCATGAGAAATCTGGGGCGTATCTTCCTTAGAGGCCCCAATTAAATTGAAATATCTCATGATATGTATAGTTGTTTTTATATACAATTTTAAAAAATTATGGGCTGAAACTCCAATAGATTTGGTTTGTGATCTTTAGTTTTTTTTTTGAATTTGATACAGAATTATATGGAGGATAGAAAGGAATCTGTCAACAGCTTCATATGCAATGCAGATCCCATTATCTATTCACCACCACAAGCAACTTACATTGCAAGAATTATTGGGGATATGGGAAGCAAATCTCAGCTAAGAAGAAGCACATCTTCTGTTGCCAGGAAGTCATACATTAGTGATGATGAGCTTGATGAATTAAAGTCCCCATTATCTTCAATATTCTTCACTAATTCATCAACCTCAGCAGTTTCAACAAAATCCAGCCTGAATTTGAAAGAAATTCACAATGAATGTCCTCTCAGATATGAACTCCTCAGGGATGTGTGGATGAACAGTGAGTAGTCTTCTCGCATACCCCTAAATGCTACACTCATTTAAATCATAACACATGGTTATGATATCACATAACACAAATGACATGAAAAAAGTAATTCATGTGTATAATTTAAGTTGGTCTAGGACCGAGTCTTCAATATTACATGAAAAGATAATCTATGTTTTTTTCTTGTTACCTTCCTTGGATTCTATATACTCACTCGGGTGTATCAGAGCATAAGTAACTTTTACAACATAAAGTACTATAACATATGGTGCGGATAGTATGTATTGGTTTTTATATAATATCAGAGCCTTTATGATTAAATGGTCACAAGTTCGATCATCATCGCCCCCATTCCAGTAATAATTAATTAATTTGTGAAATTTGTTAGCATAAATAAGAGGGATTCGAGTATTGTCCATTCTTCAAACTTAATGGGCTAAAGTACGAGGGAGCTTATTAGAGATAATATAATATAAAAACTATTAATGGCCTTCACTTAACAACTTAAGTTGTTAAGTTGAATTGGTTCTTTACGATATGCATTCAAATAATAGTATTTTAAGACTCTAAATGTAAATTACAACACGGATTAGATGAGAGGTTAGCTAGATACTGAGTTGTTAATACCAAATCCTATGGAAGGTTTTGTTTCTCACTTTGCAATTTGAACATGAATTCAAACGACACAAGAAATAGAGCACAAAGAGACAGGCAGAAACAGAACAGATGGAAGAACACAACTCATAATAAAATTTAGGGAAAGCTTAAAAAAAAACCCGGTGTAACTTTCTTTATAATCATTTATCCCCTCTTCAAAATTTTTTATCACTTACTCTTGACTTAAAGTTTCTTTATCACTTACCCCCTTTAATAAGTGATAAAGAAACTTTAAGTCAGGGAGATCAGTAATAAAAAAAATCTAAATGATTCAAAAATTTTGAGAGGTGTAAGTGATACTTAAGAAAATTCATAGGATTTTTTTTGAAATTTTTCCTAAAATTTAAAGTACAAACAATCATTGTTACAAGTGATAAACAACTTATTCCCAGGTCTCAAGTTCTCGAGTCCTCTAAAATCAATAATTATTCATTTGTGTAAGATTAAAGTTTGAAATTGTTGAAAATTTAAAAGAAGAGTTAGATTATATGATGTGATCCAAAAGTGCTTTCGGTATATTTTTATTTACAAATTAAAAATTAGACCGAAGGAAAGAAATTCACATTAGAGATAAGTGACAAAATAAATAAATTACAGAGTAACTAAAAAGTAAAATTTAAATTTTACCATAAATTTTAGTGGTCATCATGTAACAACTATTCTATATGCATTCTATCTTGAAAATTTGTCCAACTACACGGCGTTTTTTTTTTTTTTTTTTTCAAATTATTATGTTTTTAATTAAGGCTTTAATATTTCTAGTGAACGTAAATAAGTTATTTACATTCACTCCCAAAACGACATCGTTTTGCGTTGAAAAATTAAAAAATTATAATGAAAAAGACTATTATAACCCTGAAATAAATTATAATTACAAAAATACATTAATTTGTCCCAAAACGACGTCATTATGGGCTCAATGTAAATAACTTATCTACATTGACTGAACCCTTTTATTAATTAATACAAGAAATTAAGAATGCCACTTTGTGTTCATTTTATTATTATTTCTTTCACATAATACAATTAAGAAATATGATTCATTTTTTCTGTAGTTATTGCAGATAAGTTATCTGCAGTAAGCCCAACACGACGTCGTTTTGGGACGGAAATCATAGTGTTTTTGTAATTTTTATTTATTTTAGGATTATTATAGTCTTTATAATTATAATTTTTTTAATATTTTAATCCCAAAACGACGTCATTTTGGGAGTAAATGCAGATAACTTATCTATAGTAAATGCAGAAATATTTTTCTGTAAGAAATAACCTAAAAACAATGGGATTAATATTTCTTATGTTGTAGGAGATGCATTTTATTTCATACGCTCACATAAAAGTCTGTGGGGTCCATGTGGAGTCATATAAGGAGAAGAGAGGGAAAGAGAAAATATGGGTCTTATACACTTTTATATGTGTAGGAGATAAATTTATCTCATATAATACGAGAAATAATAAAGGAAAAATATACTCTTATGTTATAGGAGAGAATTTATCTCTCCTATACATACATTGATTTTTGTGTTACTTTTTTATTCTTTTTCTATAGTGGGTGGGTTCCACACATAATTATCTCTATTGCATGAGAGAGTTCTCTCTTATTACATGAGAGTAATAAAGCCCGATAATAAAATCAAAAACGATATAGTATGTAGTACTTTTGTAATTGTATACGAAAACATATGACATGAAAATAAAACAAAAAACAAAGTGAACACTGCCTTGACATTCTTAAAAGTTTCAAAGACTATGAAAACGGAGGTGAGTCACCAAAAATTCCCTATCAACTCTGGCCCTCATATTCACATGTATTAGAATGAGGGAAAGGGAAATGAATGCAGTAAGAATATCATGACCCCTGCGCACTCAAATTCCTGAAGGAGGTTGTAGCATTAACATGCTCTCATGTACTATAGATTAAAAGAAATGTTCGAATATCTACAAAATTTATATAATATTACATTTTAAAATAATTTAAAGTATATTAGAAGATCTTTCAACATTAGTTCATTTATTTTCTTGTATTTCTTTATTTTAGAATCTTCTATTCAAATATAAATTGGAATTAATATTTTATATTTTGTATCAAATCATATCATGTAATTATATAATATTATTTAATTTATAATTATTTTTCTTCTTCCATTCAAAATTTCAGTAAATTTAATATGGAACAAAAAGAAGAAAAAAAAAAAAGATCACCCCATTTGAATAAAACTAATTTGCTTAAAAAAAAAAAAAAACTAATTTGGACGGAACATATTGGCCCAATTCATTGGGCCGGCAGTTGAGCCCCACAAAAGGTATTATATCCCGACTTTTTGACTACTATAGCCTTTTTTTAATAATTAATTATCAAATTGACTCTATTTATAAACTATTTCAAAAATTTAACCTCTCCAGAAAACATAACACTAATCTGCCTCTGTTTGACCGTTGATCATGAAGCCTATCCAGGTACACCCCTCCCTAAGGGTGTTCGCGGTCTGGATTGGATCGGTTTTGGAAGCAAAACTCATCCGATCCAATCCCTTCGGTTTGATCATGTAATCATCCATTCGGTTTAAATTTTTTTTCAAATCCGATCCGATCCAATCCAATTTTTTTCGGTTTGGATTGGATCGGTTTTCGGTTTTTTAAATATCCTAAAATTAATTTCATGATTATTGTGCAAATAACATCTTTTGTATATATTGACTTTGTAAAAAAAAAATTTGAAATACAAAAATATCAGTAAACAATACTATAGTTGATGAGACGTGACTAAGTTTTTTTTTGGGTTTAGATGATGAGTTAATGGGTCTTGAGTTTAGGAATTTTTGGACTATGATTGGAGAAAGGACAAGTAGGTAGAGGATAATTAATATATTGGATCAGTTTGGATTGGATCGGTTTTCATTAACCCATCCGAAAACCGATCCAATCCAATTAAAATTTGCAGTTTTCTTTCGGTTTCCGATTTTTCGGTTTATTCGGTTATCGGTTTTTCGGTTCGGTTTTTGCGGTTTGAATCGGTTTGGATCGGTTGATGAACACCCCTACCCCTCCCTACCCGGGTATTTTTTGAAAATTTATGCCTACCCGGGTAGGGAGGGGTGTACCCAGATATATATCTTGACATCTGGAGAAAATTTATGCCTACCTGGGTAAGGAGGGGTGTACCCAGGTATAGTTCTTGACATCTGGAAAATTACTTGAATTATTTACCCGAGTAGGGAGGGGTGTACTCGGGTAAATCTCGACCAGAAACCCCAAAACCGTTCGAATATTATCTCAACTATTTCAAATATTTATGGCTGATTTGAAATAGTTGAGATAATATTCGAACGGTTTTGGGATTTCTGGTCGAGATTTACCCGGGTACACTCCTCCTTACCTGGATAAATAATTCAAGCAATTTTTATGATGTCAAGAACTATACCCGGGTACACCCCTACCTACCCGGGTAGGTAAAAAATTTCAAAATATACCCGGGTAGGAATGGGTGCACCCGGGTAGGCTTGATGGTCAACGGTCAAACAAGGACAGATTGGTATTATGTTTTTTGAAAAGATTAAATTTTCGAAATAGTTTATAATAAAGTTCAATTTGATAATTAATTATTAATAAAGAGTTATAAGGGTCAAAAAGTCATTATATCCCTAATATGAGATGTTTAAATCTTTATTGTAGAGGATCTGATTCCCCCTAATATATCTTTTCATGAAGGAATCTTTCCACATATTTACACCGCCATTGAAAAGACATATTCTACACAACATTTCGAGAGGTGTTACGTTATAGAAATATCTTATCACATAAAGTCATCGTGCTCTTTGCATTCCCCCTTAATTCTCAGTAACTTTAGAAAAAACAAATTCTTATACTTATTCCTTATGAATCACAATCACCAAATTAACAAGGCTATAGCGTGCAATTGCAAGTATGCCTTCACTCGTTCTGTTTATATATGTTAACCAATAAAATATGAGATTAATATTTCTTATGTTGTAGGAGATAATTTTTACACACACATAAAAATATATGACTCATGTTATCTTTATATCTCTTTTTTTTCCTGGATATGATTTCACATGGGTTCTACACAATTTTATATGTGTAGAGATAATTTTTCTCTTACAAGAAACAATAATCCCATACAATATTCATAATGACCAAAATTTCTACCCCAAATCTTAATCCTAATTATCAATACCAAGCCCAAAACGGTTAAAAGACACGCTTCGGAAATAAAGCAGTTATCACTTACCAATTATCAAAAAGAAGATTTTCTCACAGTTTATTTCTATAGCAATGGAACCCAAAAACAGATAATAATTCCTGTCTTTATACCAAACTAAAGGTGCAAATGGTACGGTTAGAA